ATATAAATATAACGATTCAACATACGTGTGAACATTTTTCCACTGTCTCAAAGTGCAGTTGTGTAGCCGTAAACAATTAATACGTAATTTTTATTACAAAAGGAAAAGTACGACATTTTACATTGAAGCTGCGGGTTCTCCCTTTCAGATTAAATAAAACAGCCTTGTGCGTAAAAAATATACTCTCCTACCAAATAATTTTCGATCCTCAAACAAACATTGCTTATTTGGTTTCTCAAAAATCAATGTGTTTTGTGTTTCATAAAGATTATAATTATCTTACGTCGATCTAAAAATGGTACCCCTATATCACAATAAAAATACTTCAATTATGACAATACTGCTGAATGGGTCTGACTATATCAAAATGTTGTCTAATGTTGATAATTTTTTGCAGAGAAAACAATGTCAACATCGAAAAGGCAGAAAATTTTGTCAAAAATTTGTTTAAACTGGTACAGGTCACGTTTATTGCCGATTTGATACAAAATTGTTTGGGAATATTTTTCGATGGAATTTCAGCCTGCAATGAAAAAAATTTTACATTTACTCCACTACTCAAATTTCAACTGCAATATATGAAATAGATAATCTTTAAATACTTATTTTCATTTTCGATTCACCCGCGCATGTGATTCCGCAATGCTTTTTCACAAGAGGGTGCGCCGCACCGTGTTTCAGCCTAAATCTTTTGTCATCACCCATTTTGCATTTCCATAAGAAAAGGACAAGAGGCGGACGGCGTCGACTAAGTGCAGCCCTACAAATATACGTTTATACTTGGAATATGTGTGAAGTAAATCATATCAACATTGATCCATATGTTGTACGACTTTAGTAAAACTTAAATCAGTAATCGTATGGAACTTCTTTTTAATTTTAATCTATTTTTTAACAAAATACATTCTGTTTGTGTTTTTATTACACATTTGTTGCGCAATTAACGTAAAATCGGTCGAAGATACATATGGATCCAAATAGGAACCAATTGCCAAAAATGTTAATAGAGATCGTCCTTCTTCACAAAAATATATATACAGATATGCGTATCTCGTCTCCTTATTTATGTTACAAACAAAGACATAATACCCCTATAACAGTGTGGTGTAGTGTATAATCGTCGGGCTTACCGACGAATTTGAATTGGGCTATTTGGGACTAAACATTGCATCGTCAGTCTAATGGTCATTGGCTCTCGGGTATTTAAGTTGAGACTCTCCCCTAGACTCGCTGACTGATAGTCGTGGACTGCTTATTCAATTCGCAGTTGCCAAATATATATCTATATATACAAGGTGGCGCAAAAGTAATCCTCCTATCGGAAAATACTATAAATTTTACAATTAGTCTCTAATGATAGTTCTGTTTTGACATTTTCGTAGTAAACACATGCGAAATACAGGATAATAAATATATACAGGTTAATAAATGATGATGCCAATTTCCACCTTAACGGGTATGTAAATAAGCAAAATGTACGCTTTTGGGGCACTGAAAATCCGCGTGTAACCCACGAAGAGGCATAACACCCGCTCAAAGTCACTGTATGGTGTGCTATTTTCGCTGGAGGAATCATCCTTTTTCTTCGATGACGTCGCGGGTCAAACGGTTACTGTGAATGAAAGCAGTGATCAACGACTTTTTTTGCCACAACTTGATGAGTTTGGATTGGAAAACATGTGGTTCCAACAGAACGGCACACACTGCATGTGCTACAATCGATATGTTGAAGGATGCATTTCACGAGCGCCTAATCTCCCGTTTTGGCGATTTGCACTGGCCAGCAAGATTGCCTGGCCGCTCCAGACTTCTTTTGTGAGACTTTCTGAAGTCGCGGGTTAGGTCAACAAGCCTCAAACTCTTTCAGCTCTTAAATACAATATCCGTCAAGAATGTGAGGACCCATCTCCGCAAGTTTTGACCAAAGTGATGGAAAATTCCATAAAAATTGCTCAAATCATAATAAACTATGGCGACAGCCATTAACATGACATCGTATTCCCTACCTGATTGAAAAAAAAACTAAAGGACCAAATAAAAATAATCCACAAGAAAAATCAAAGTTTTTCATTTTTTTGTAATTTACAGACAAAAACATCGGAAGATTACTTTTGCGCCACCTTGTATATCCACCTTGTATAATAGCAATCAACTATACCTCCCGAAGGCCGGGCTTTGGGTTGAAGATCAATTTGTACAATTTAGTTGTTGCAAAACAGTTAATAAATAACGTACAGTGCAGGTGACACTTCGATATGTTAAGTTTGGTAAGACGTCTTGAAGCAGATATGTAATAGAAAGGTTTTTATGTTCTGCAAATGATTGTTCCTGCTTTTCACTCGAATGGAACTAGAATCGATAACTCGAAAGAAAATGAAAACGTTTTTCATACAAATGTATTTCCTTAAAAATTCGAATGCTAGATTAGCGAATATATTTTCAGTAATCAAAGAGTAAAAAAAAAAATAAAATAATCGCAAGCATTTTAGAAAAAAAAATATCTATTTATTTTTTTGAAAATCTAAAACAAAATAGTATATATTTGTACTCATTTATTTTGAAAAAAATGTTTGTTTTATTAAGTAGAATATTGTACGACAATTCAATTTAGCACAAGATCGCACGGTAAATGAAAAGCTAGTCGAAAGAAAGCTATGATTTTAGATAACCCCAGTTTAATTCGACTTCCAGTGACATCCTTTGCCTCGATTGCCATAAAAAACTGAATAGACGTTGTGTACAAAAACTCCTTTTACGTATTACTGCCGTTTACTGAGAAAAATACGCTGCTAATACAGAGTTTGATGAAAAAACTGCAACCAACTTCAGACTGCTGTCATTTCCAAGCCTCTCATCCGACAGCTGTTAAAATTATCCCAGTGACAGCTCATTATATTGTTTACAAGCGGTCAAAAGCATTTTGGTGAAAATTTTCCAGAAAAGAAGTTATTAGTGATGGAATTCAAGCGTGATAGTGTGATTTCTTTTGGTTGGATAGCCACAAGTTAGAGCATTCTGCATTTAAATGTGAGTAAATCTTTTGTGTCTCGTACCATCGCTCGTTACCGTGATACTGGTAGTGAGTCCGACGTCAAGGAAGCGGACGGGTAAAAACAACAACATCAGCAGAAATGATTCGAAAGTAAAGAAACGACTTGATCGTCGCAGTGGCCGAAAAATGGTTCGTGAGCAGAACATATCGCAATATTCCATTCGGCAAATATTGAAAAATGTGCTCGGGGTAAAGCCATTGAAATTCCAAAAAGTGCAAGAACTTACACCTCAACAGAAAGAAAATAGACTCAATAGAGGTAAAGAGTTGCTTCGCTTGGCCGAAAGTAGAGAACTGCCGAATTTGGTTTTCTCCGATGAGAAAACATTCGTTGTAAACAAACAAAATGATCCTGTTTACTAGCCCAAGGGGTCAGCTGCACCTTCGGTTGGCCACCAGAACTCAAGCGCAGGCCATGGTAGTCGCTCCCCGCTCGTATTAATCGACCGTGGCAATAAATATCAGAATAAATGCCGAATATTATCGCGAAAATATTCTGGAGGGTGTATTTAAGCCTTGGACAAGCAAACATTTTTGACGCAGACCTTGGACATTCCAACAGGACTCAGCATCATCACACTGAGCACGCGCCATCCAAGAATGGTTACAAAATATGGTTCCTCGCTTCATTTCCAGCGCACAATGGCCAACAAAATCTCCGGATACCCATCCGTTGGACTATTGTGTCTGGGGTATTTTGGAATGCAAGGTTGGCACTAAAAAATACCAAAGTGTCGATCACCTCAAGCAGGAGCTTGGCCGGGAATGGACGAAAATACCGCAGAGCAACATTCGGGCAGCGTGTGACGGTTTCATTGGCCGTTTGAAGGCCATAATTCGTGCCAAAGGTAACCAATTCGAACAAATCTAAACTTATTCTAAAATTTGATGCTATTTCCGACATTTTTTGCTTTCATTCAAAAAAAAATTAAACAAAAATGTAAAAATTATGGCGTATGACTTTGTTGCAGTTTTTTTTTTATCTCACCTGTATACTGACTGCTATATGATACTATGAAAGTTTTTAAATTTAAAGCGAAGAAATTGTTCGACCATGTAGACCTTTGTTATTTCACGTATGTTTGATATTACTTCTGGTCGGGGCGATTTGTCTATTTGTTTAAAAATACCTGAAAATCTTTAGTGTCATGTATTTGAAGGTTGCTCTAACATTAAACCTTTGTGGGCCCATGTTGACCGTGGGAAAACATTCCTTTAACGCTTTTTTTTGGGTGTAGTCTGGAATGTATTAACCCTTTTGTAATTGGAATGTATGAATTCTATCAAGATAACTCTTGGAGTAGAAGTCCTAAAGAAAAAGTCTTATTTTTACCCTATTTTTGTTTTAAGAGGGATTGTAATATATCCCCCGGATATAGGATCGTAGGAGCTTTAAATTTTACCATTACGTATGTAGAAAATAACTCTATTAGCAAGAAAATGATTCGGCCCACAAAGTGTCAAGTAGAACAATATAGCTAACCATAAAGATAAAATTATTTCTTCATGGCTAAAATTCCAGGCAAATAAAAAAGTTATACAATTTTTCTAAGACTATTTCCACGCAGTAGTATCTAATACAGTCCAATTTTTCTCACATGCATTTAAACACACCCCCAATATATTCCAACTCCAAGAAGCGTGAAATAGCATATCGAAATTTATCGTAAAACAACTACCTTTATCTTTTGCGAATCAATCTAAGGTATAACTCGACAATAATCGCCACGGTTAGAACTCATACCACCTCCTGTATCTATCTAACTCGTCAAAACTCACATCTTTTTGATAAAATACAATAAACATATAATGCCAAGTTATAAAATATACACCTTAATAATGTAAGAAAGCAAACAATTAAAAACTAAACTCTTATCAAAATCAGCTTCGGTCGATGTATGCGACTTCATAATTGAAATATTTTCGCAAAAATAAAAAACACACAGTCAAAAGGTAGATTCACCAGCACTAACAGGGACTGGTAATCAATTCAGTGAAAAGCGTCAACACAAAACAATAACCCAAAGTATTAGAAAAATATAACGCCGAGTTCAATTAGTTGCAATTTGATATTGAAACAAAAGGGTTGTGTCAGTGGCCTCCTCTCTAGCAAGTGAAATAGTAAAAGAACGAAAAAAGAAATCAACAATATTAACACTACTTCTACCGTTACAATGCACGACGAACGCCTAAAGGAATTTCTGAAACCACTCGTCCTGAGCGATTCACAATTACAGGAAGCTTACAAACGGTTTTGTAATGAGATACGCAAGGGCTTATCTGCCAGTGAACACGAACAGGCCGATACAAAGTGTTATGTGACGTATGTGCAGGACCTACCCACAGGAAATGAAGTGGGCAAATATCTGGCATTGGATTTGGGTGGTACAAATTTCCGCGTTCTTTTGGTCACCTTGAAAGGTCACCATGAAGCTGTTGTGGAGTCCGAGATATATGCTGTGCCCAAGGATATTATGTTAGGTCCTGGCGAAGAATTGTTCGATCATATTGCTCAATGTTTGGCAACGTTTGTGGAGGGTCATAAAGTTGCCAGTGAACATTTGCCCTTGGGTTTCACCTTTTCATTTCCCTGCGTTCAACTTGGTCTAACCAAGGCGCTTTTGGTGCGGTGGACCAAAGGCTTTCAGTGTTCGGGCGTTGAACAAGAAGATGTCGGGCGACTTCTAAAGGAGGCAATTGCACGACGTGGTGATTTGGAAATACATGTCATGGCAATTTTAAATGATACAACTGGCACCCTAATGTCCTGCGCACATCGGAATCCTGAATGTCATATAGGTGTAATTATTGGAACAGGATGTAATGCTTGCTATGTCGAGAAAGTAGATCAAGTTGAACTTCTCGAACCCGAATACAAGGTGAACAACAGATATGTTCTAATCAACACGGAATGGGGAGCATTTGGTGACGGCGGCTTGTTGGACTTTATACGCACAGATTATGATAAAGAAATTGACAAAAAGTCACTGAATGCGGGAACACAGATATTTGAAAAAATGATATCGGGTTAGTATCAACGTTTTCTTTTTTTTTTTTTTGGTTATCAATCGCGTGTCTAAGAAGTTCTGTTGGATAATTATAGCCTACGCTGCTGTGTGAGTTTGGTATGATTATTTTTCGTTAAACGTGAAATTGTATTGGAACGATTTAAGTCGAAATAATTTATCTTATTTCTGGTCGAAATAATATCACGGAATGCCTCGAAAAGCCCATTCTTTTAGGTATGAAATTTAAAAATTTGTATAAACGTTGTAGTCACTCCACAGATTGTGATTGATTTTAAACTTTCCCCTGTTTGGAGTTCAAAACTTTTTTATAAAAATGAGAGAAGTTCTAACTATAGTTTTGCCACTTAGAACACTCTATCGACGACGATAAAAAGAAAAACTTCAGGTCTTATAAATTTCTTAAACCTTCAGATATCAAACGAGGGTTTTATTTATTTCAGTGTTAACCTAAATAATACCTCCAAATACCTCTTACTCCAAACGCTGTTTCGCAACGGAACAACTATGTGTTCAAAGTTGAACTTCTTAAGGTATTTTATTTGTCAAATCAATACTTAGAAATGTTTCAAATAGGCTAGTAGCACATGTTTATTTTAAATAGTAATTGTTCATTAAAAACCCATCACATTAACGACTCCAAGCAGTGTTCCTTTGAATTTTTTGGAGGACAATCCTGTCTGGTTAGCCCAATTAAAGTTATAACTTCACCAATTTAATTTGGCGGCAAGTTAACGAAGAAAAATAGAAACTAAGGCTTACCGATATAAAAAATGTGGTAACCTTTCGCTTGAATTTGTATGAATGTAAGGATTTTTTAGTTGAATTTCTACATAAACAAGTAAAAAGTATCAGTCGGTTTTGCCGACAGATGTATGCCCTTAGTCATAGTACCCTCCACTATAGTATGGAGGGTATATTAATATCATTCCGTTTGTAACACACAAAATGTACATTTTAGACTCTACAAAGTATATATACTCTTGATCGGCATAAAATTCTATGTAGATTTAGCGATGTCCGTCGGTCTGTCTGTCCATCTGTGGAAATCACTCTAGCTTCCGATCCAATTTAAGTAGGTGGATAACATTTTACTCAGTTGTGTGTTTGGTCTACAGGACTTTTGGTATTGAAAATGAGCGGTATTTTGATGACTTTAACGACATTATTCACCAAATTTTTTTCATATTTCGTACTTGTAGTTCCCTGTTGGTGCTACTGTCTATGACAAAAAATTGTCTGTGTAGTTACACGACTTCGTATAGCCCTCATATATTGATACCTCTCTATATTCGGTACTTTGATGGTTGTGCTATATTATTCACCGGATTTTTTTTCCAATTTGAATGTTGTAGTGGACTATGACAAAACTTGCCTGTACAAGTCCACGTCTTCGTATAGACCCCCATATTGCGGTAACTCCATATATTGTCCATTTTTATGATTTTCAAATCCAAATGGTGGATGGTATTCAAAGTTCGGCCCGATCGAACTTCTGCTTTTTTACTTGTCATACTTCATCTAATACACATAAAATATTGGTATGGGCAAAATCACAAGAAAATCGGACATTTATATCCAATTTTATCCGAAACCATAAATTCCATATTATTCTCATGTTCCTGGTTGAGTGAAATATTTAGATGTAGCAAGTTGTAAAGAATCGTCGACTTGTTTCGGAAGTTATGACAAATAAAAGTATTGAAAATTGTGACCCTTTGTGGGTGAGATACCACAAGGGGTTCGCATATATAGCAATCTTTACAACAGATCTTGCGTTAGCAAAAATGTTTGTATGTGTGAAATTGGAAGAGCTTATTTCGTTTTCTTTGAGTGTTTTTTTTTTTTTTTTTTTTGAAAACCTTGAACCCTATGTGCGCAGGTAGCCAAAGAATAGGTCCGATCTCTACAATCTTGTGTTGATGTAAATATTGAGATGTACCAAGTTTGAATGGAATCGGATGTTAATTTCATCCAATCCAGGAGGATTGGCTTAATAAAATTATTGAAATGTGTTTAATTTGAAGACAATCGGACCCTTACATCACATTTTATAAGCGTTGTAATTATTCAAAATGTTCACCCTTTGTGGGGGAGGTACTAAATGGAGTGGACCGACATTGTCCATTTTCGCACCTGACCTTGCACTGACGCAAATATTAGGATTTGCAAAGTTGGAGCAAAATCGGATTATCGTTTCCCTTTCTGTGCAGTTTTATAGGTAAACTGTTATACGCTTCGGTTTTATCTACGTACGTCAAAAGTTCAAGAGATTTTCTATTTAAATTCCAACTCAAATTTTGAACTGAGATCAATGAACTTTAGCGTGAAAGTTTGCACTTAATAATATATATATTTTATCCGCTTTAATATCGCTGCCTTGGCAATGGATACAAACTGATATGAATTTATGAAAAACAATCAATTTGTCATTGATGTCCGTTATCATTGCATTCAAAATTTTTGAGTTTCTTCTGATATTGGTCTGTAGGGGGTAATTAGTCAAATAAACACAACGTCTTTGATAATAATATATACACTTTTATGCTCTAATCGCAAAGAGGTATATTTTTATGAATTTGATAATGAACGTATTAAATATATATGTAAATATTTTGGTATGTTACTATCTTTCAAATATGTGTTTAGGTTCATAATCAATTTTAGTGGAACAATGACCAGGTTTTTTTCTTTCAAATATAAAAACGGGTGATAATGCACACAAATGTATTTCTTGTCTTGAAATAGGCACAATCGATAACGATTTGGCAATTTAACACTTACTACTGCAGAATTTCAATATGCTAGTGCGCACTTTCTTTGTAGTTTGTCTTTAGACCAAAAACATGGGCTATTGTCAATCATTTTTGTACCTTACACAATCACAGTACGAAGGTTTAATTTAGTTTTGGTTCCAAAGACTGGAGAGGAAAGCATTTTTTTGGGCGTGGCGTGGGGAAATACAAGCTGTGTTTAGTTTACATTTTAGTTTTTCCAAAATAGTGTCATGTTATGTGTCAATGTCTTTTTTTAGTTTCCAATTTTTTTTATTTTATTATTTTCTAAGTATTTTGCGTACTTCCCCTCTGGAGTAAGTCCAAACCGAAATTGACCCAAATAGCACTATTTTGGAGCGGCAAGAATGCAGGGAAATAAATAAACCGTCCGAATTAAGGGGATTCTCGTATTACTTTTGAACTGATAGACACAATCCCATTACAAGCTGACTTGTTGGATATGTATTTTTAAAAGCTTTCTGATAATACTCATACTGTACATATCAATTCAGCCGGATATAATTAGTTTTGAGGTCAAATGCCGTTTCCTTCTTCACAAAAACTATTTTCTCGTAATCTGAGTAAAAGTATCTACTTTTGAAAGAACTTTCAGCCCTTATATCCCACATTGATTTAGAAATTTCCTTTTTTCATTTCAGGCATGTACTTGGGAGAACTTGTACGATTAATTTTATTGGAAGCACTCAAAAGAAATCTAATTTTTGTACTATCTCAGAACAAATCTGCTTTCATAACAAAGTTGTCTGGAGAATGTGAATGCTTTGAGACTAGCATGATCTCGGAAATTGAGGCCGATGTATTTCCAGAGTTTAAAAAAACACGAGAAATTATAAAGCAGCTATTTGGCATCGAAAAAGCATCAGTTGAAGACTGTCAAAAGTTACGCTACATTTGTGAGTGCGTTTCCCAGAGAGCTGCAAGTTTAGTCGGGGTTGGATTAAGTGGACTGATTAATAAAATCGAGGAACCTAAAGTAGTTGTTGGTGTTGATGGATCTGTTTATCGTTTTCATCCTAAGTTCGACGCCTATATGCGAGCTACAATGAAGAAATTGGTAAAGGATAACGTAGAATTTGACTTAATGCTTTCGGAGGACGGTTCTGGCAGAGGTGCTGCACTTGTAGCTGCTGTGGCAAGTCGGGGAAACTAAGTGTTCTTATGCGAATTTATAATTTAGATTTATAGTAACAAGAGGAGGAAATAAAGTATTTACTTACAATCATCCGTCTCTTTCTTTTCGTTTGAATTGGCAGTCGCTTGTGGGTTATCGGGAGATTGGTTGTCTTCTTTATCCTCTTTTGAAATATTGATTTTAGCTTCCTTAAATATAAGTTTTTCATTAATGATTTGTTTCCAATCCAAGAGGATTTGTAAACATACCAGTTTACGTAGTTTCTCCTTGTATTTCTTGAGTTTCTTTTCCTGCTGTTTTAGGACACCATGAAGACTTTCAATGTATGCACACAACTCCTCCCTTTGCATTGTTTTAAGGTCGTCCATATTTTTGGAACGAAACTTTTTGAGTTTCGATGATTTCTCGCCATTATCAGTATTTTCAGATTCACTATTTGGCATTATTTTTCCAAATAACAATCCCTGCCATAGAGCTGGTAAATAATCGATGGCAATATCGATACATTTTACCGACCGGAGTATCGATGGATAGTTTTTACCATCGATAGTATCGGACGAATTGCTAATCAGGGTTACCGTTTTCCGACTAAAGTCGCGATTTGCGATATTTTTGACGACATGTGACTTTATGTGCACATTTTTTTAATTTTGACTCTTTTTCAGAAATGTGTGCTAATTTTAACCCCTCTTTACGTTTTTCATTTTTCAAAAGTTCTGATAAATAAATGCAAATTTTCGACGTAAATAGATAATAAATTATACAATTTTGTGATCAAACTGTATTATCTTACTATATTAGATTCCATCTTGTGGTATAACCCCGAAATTCCATTCTTGTTTCACAGGTTTTCCCAATATACGAAATTTATTAAAAACAAGTTAAAAAGCAGTAAGTTCGGCCGGGCCAAACTTTTAGTACCCTCCACCATTTGCAACGAATTTGGAAATTTTTAAAAAATAAAATCCTTAAAAATTTCTGTTAAAATGTTAAAAATACCGAATATAGCCGTTATATTGGGGTCTATACGACGTGGACATACATAGGCATTGTTTGTCATAAGCCATTAAGCAAATTTGAAACTTGAAATAAACGGCGAATAATGTAGCTAAAATCCTCAAAATATCGTATATAAGGAGGTGCCGTTAAATTGGAGCTGTGCGAAGACCTGGACCAGCATAGACAATTTTCTGTCACAGGCTGTAGCATCTATTACGAACTTCAAATACTGGGTAATGTGCTCAAAAAGAACCCCTTGTGTACAAAGAACCGCTTGTGACCATTCCGTTGAAAAATATGGCTAAAAACATCAAAATACCGAATATCGGGGGTACCGTTATATGAGGGCTATACAATATCGTGGATCTATATAGATAATTCTCTGCCGAGGTATAAAGTACCCACAAGGAACTCCTTGTGTGGATTTTCAGACAATTCCGATGAAAAATGTGGGTAAAATCTTCAAAATACCGAATATGGGGGGTACCGTTATATGGGGGCTATACGATATTTTGAACCTATATAAATAATTCTCTGCTGAGGTATAAAGTACCCACAAGGAACTCCTTGTGTGGATTTTCAGACAATTCCGTTGAAAAATGTGGGTAAAATCATCAAAATACCGAATATCAGGGGGTACCGTTACATGGGGGCTATACGATATCGTGGACCTATATGGACAATTCTCTGCCGAGGTATAAAGTACCCACAAGGAACTCCTTGTGTGGATTTTCAGACAATTCCGTTGAAAAATGTGGGTAAAATCATCAAAATACCGAATATCGGGGGGTACCGTTATATGGGGGCTATTCGATATTGTGGACCTATATAGATAATTCTCTGCCGAGGTATAAAGTACCCACAAGGAACTCCTTGTGTGGATTTTCAGACAATTCCATTCAAAAATGTGGGTAAAATCATCAAAATATCGAATATCGGGGGGTACCGTTATATGGGGGCTATACGATATTGTGGACCTTTATAAATAATTCTCTGCCGAGGTATAAAGTACCCACAAGGAACTCCTTGTGTGGATGTTCAGACAATTCCGTTGAAAAATGTGGGTAAAATCATCAAAATACCGAATATCGAGGGGTACCGTTACATGGGGGCTATACGATATCGTGGACCTATATGGACAATTCTCTGCCGAGGTATAAAGTACCCACAAGGAACTCCTTGTGTGGATTTTCAGACAATTCCGTTCAAAAATGTGGGTACAATCAGCAAAATACCGAATATCGGGGGGTACCGTTACATGGGGGCTATACGATATCGTGGACCTATATGGACAATTCTCTGCCGAGGTATAAAGTACCCACAAGGAACTCCTTGTGTGGATTTTCAGACAATTCCGTTGAAAAATCATCAAAATACCGAATATCGGGGGGTACCGTTACATGGGGGCTATACGATATCGTGGACCTATATGGACAATTCTCTGCCGAGGTATAAAGTACCCACAAGGAACTCCTTGTGTGGATTTTCAGACAATTCCTTTGAAAAATGTGGGTAAAATCATCAAAATACCGAATATCGGGGGGTACCGTTATATGGGGGCTATACGATATCGTGAACCGATATAGCCCATCTTCTAACTTGACCTGCCTGCAGACAAAAGAGAGATCTGTGCAAAATTTTAGCTTCCTATCTTAATTCGTTTAGACTGTAGCGTGATTACAACAGACGGACAGACGGACGGACAGGGCTAAATCGTCTTAGAATTTTACGCTGATCAAGAATATATATACTTTGTTGGGTCTAAAATGATAATTTCGATGAGTTACAAATGGAATGACGAACTTAATATACCCTCCATACCTTTTTTGGTGGAGGGTATAATAATAAACAAAGCCTACTGTTGCATATTTAAAATATTATTCGACACTGTAAGACTCCCGTACAGAGTTGCAAACTTTCTTATTGTTCATGAATGAATTCATGTTTTTTTCCTATAAAAAATTATATAAAACTAGAGATTTTGAAACATTCCTCTTAAAAAAACATTAAGGGTGCTGTTAGTTCTTGTGTAGTCCTCGTTTTACGGTTTAGTTTAAGCCAGTCTCTCAGGAGCACAAACCCCAGAATAACCGGCTAAAGTATGTTGACAATATCTTCACAATACCTGTTATATGGATTCGGTTTAAAACGACATCTTACACTGACAATTTCCTGCAATTAAATTAAGGATGACAATCTTCTACAAGTATTATAGAAAAACTAACCAAACTTCTCCTAGCTTCCGCAAAATGATAATTTGAAACAAAATTCAACCATTTCATAATTAAGCCTTACATGACTTATGGGGCTAATGCCATTTTGGATTGTCTACGAGTTTTTTTATAATCACGATCATGTAAAATGAAAAAGTTGTTATAAAAAAATATATAAAACATATTTGCTCTGTTCCAGAACTGCATGGTTAAACAAGGAGGTGAAGTCATTTCAAATAAGCATATCCATGGTACGATAAAAGGTAAGGTAGAGCTCCCAGCTTATTAAAATTTTTTTTCTAAGTGTGCCTGACATCTGTCAATTTTGTGTATGTATATGTTGTTTTAACATTTATAACAAAATATTTTCAAAATCAATGATTGGAAGAATAATAATATTAACCAGATTTTCATTAGAATTGAAAGAATGAACACTTAGGATCATATTCTTAATGTGGCGTTTCCACTGCACTTGATTCGCTCTCTATTCGTTGTTTGACCCTTATGCCATGTTTACGTTAGAACTTTTTGTAGGGTTAACCTACTTTGAGAGGATTTATTTGAAGTAAAAGTAATGGATATGAAAATTTAAATCCAAATCCAGTGGGTTAACCCTCATATATATAAACGTACTATTAACTATGAAAAAACTACCTAATTCTTCACACAAAATTTCCTGAGCGAACACTTATATTTGTACGTTGTTCAAATCAAATCACTTTCAGAACAACGAAAAAATATGTCCCATCCCTAAAAAATGAGAGCATTTATCGGAAAAATAAATTATGACATTTAAAAATTAAAAATAGAAAAATTTAATGAAATTTTAAAAATTTTTGGGAAGACTGAAAATTATGAATGAAAACTACAATGTTGAATGGCGTATGTACATTCAAACGAAAGTAAATTTTGTTTTCTCTCTCATTCGAGGTGCGCATTTTGTCCACGGGTTGAAATTTCCACAGAAAACTGCAAACAAAAGAGGCAATATTTCCAAAATGTTTCTATCGGCAGAAAAAGTGTTTGACAAGTGTCTCTCCAGCAGAATTTAAAAATGAAAAAACACAAAAATATGTTCAAAATGTCAACATTTACACAAAAAGTTGAAAACATAAATGAAAATTGTAAAATTAATGATATAAAAAATCTTTGGGAGGAAAACAATAATTTCTTTTATTCATATAAGTGAGAATTTCATGTATTTTCGTATAAATTCCCATTAAAATCCACAAACAAAATTTTTGGAAAAAGGAATTATTTTACTATGAATTACGAATCGTGCCGTATGAACGGGTTAATTCGTGTACCTAATTCTGAGAGCGAACAATGTTGTTAGGTTTCCAATGGAAACATGCTATAAGAGAACATCCAGGCATTTCATTAATCTTTCGCGCTATTTGACTAATTTTAGAAATGAACAAAACATATCAAAAAAAAGTGTGCCCGATTTCTTTCAATTTTGTGTATGTATTTGTTGTTTTAACATTTATAACAAAATATTTTCAAAATCAATGATTGGAAGAATAATAATATTAACCAGATTGGAAGAATAATAATATTCATTAGAATTGAAAGATTGAACACTTAGGATCATATTTTTAAGAGAACATCCAGGCCTTTCCATAATCTTTCGCGCTATTTGACTAATTTTAGAAATGAATAAAACGTATCAAAAAAATTAAAACAACTGGTTGCTTATAATTTTGAATTTTTATAAATCTGTATGGATTTATAAATATAAATTTGACAATGAGACATTGTCAAATAAAAAATTTTGCAAAAAAATTTAAACATATGATAGCATGACTTTATATTCTTAATTCGACCATACAGAACTGCAAGAATGTAAAGTGGCGTTTCTACTGCACTTGATTCGCTCTCTATTCGTTGTTTGATCCTTAACTATGAACATTATAAAATTAATGATATAATAAACCTTTGGGAGAAAAACAATCATTTCTTCTATTCATATTAGTGAGAATTTAATGTATTTTAGTTTAAATTCCCATTAAAATCAACAAACAAAATTTTTGAAAAAAGGAATTATTTTACTATGAATTACGAATCGTGCCGTATGAACGGGTTAATTCGTGTACATAATTCTGAGAGCGAACAACGTTGTTCGGTTTCCAATGGAAACATGCTATAAAAGTTTGTACTTCATGATATCGGACAAATTAACAAAACTAGTAGATTCTCGCTGACTCGTTACCGACAAAAATTGGCTTTAGAACTGGCAAGAAGATAAAATTCATAGTACAATGGGGATTACCTCCTTCGTAAAACTACTAAACCAAATGTCTGTCAAAATTTTTCAAATTAAATACAACAAGTTCTCATTTATTTAATAATTTTGCAATTTTGAAATTAGCAAAGGACGCAAAAAATGAATGATATGCTTAGGCTTTCTTTCAAAAATATGATCCAATCTGTTCAATATTTAAATTCCATGGAAAATCTGGTTAACATCTTTATTGCTGTTTATTTTCATGGTAGAATTAACAAGGTAAAGACAAACAATCATTGCATATTTACGCGGTTTCCAATTATTTATTCAAAATCATTGCAGCAAGTTGTTTGGTTTTTTGATTGTTTTAATAGTAATTCTCATGGTACAATGAATTCAAGGTAGGGCAGAACTACCATATGATTTAATTTTTTTTTTTATTTTTCTGGCTTAATATGTCAACTTCATTTGCTTATGTGTGTGTCTTCTTTTCAATAATAAAAAAATGTTCAGAAAATATTCAAATTCGGGTGTTTTCAAAATGCTTATTGCAACGAATGCATCGACAAAATCGACAGCTTTTGTCGCGAAATAAACCATAAGAGACATATAGAACATGATATTGAAAAGAAATTTTGACCATTCATTCAGTTTTCGCGGTTTTAAATTATTTATTCAAAATCAATGCAACAAGTTGTTTGCTTTTTTATTATTTTGTTAGTAATTCTGACATTACAAGCCAAACAGGTAGACCTCTATACTTGCAATTTTTTCAAAGTTGACCTACCTTCTCTTCATTGTACCATGGTAATTCTGACATAACAAAACAAACAGGTAGACCTCTATACTTGCAATTTTTTCAAAGTTAGCCTATCTTGTCTTCATTGTACCCATGGTACAATAAGGAGGTAGAACAGCTTCGTAATACTACAGAAATAAAGCCCAGAGGCTATGTCCGCTTCCTGTCAGACTCATTCAAAATTATATACAAGTTGTTTTCATTTTTTTCATATTTTCCTCACTTGTAAAATGAGTTAAATAGCCCGAAAGATGAATTAAATGCCTGTATTTTCTTTTAAAAATATGATCTAAATAGTTCGATCTTTCAATTGCATAGCAAAACTGGGGAATAGCTTCAATGCGGGTCCCGCAATGTACGCGTCTTCCAATCATTGATTTTGAAAATAAATACATGCACAAAATTGGCAGAAGACGGGCACACTTAGAAAAAAATTGTAATCAGTTGGTAGCTCTAACTTACAAACTTACTCTAACTTAAACTTACAAAAAATCGCCGTTGTACTTAATAAAACTCCAACTGCGATAGTGCGAAAATGTTTTTTCGCGATTAAAAAGGAGTGACACTCCATTAAGAAACATAGACGTATATTTTTTATGTTTCCTAAAATTGCAAATGTATATATATTATGTGTGTATGCAGTTTGCTTTCATTTTGAAAGGGATGTAGCTTTTCCCACGATTTTCCTGCGATTAGTAGAAGAGCTGAGAGATTAGGGCATATAGCTAACAACTTAGATATGAATGAATGATATGAAATCATTCAAACTAAATAATTGAGGAACTATTCTTCTGCATTTTAAATCTAATAATCTAAACTCTAAAAAGTGTATTTTTTAAATTAAGTTAATTTATTGAAAATTAATTATTTTGTTTACATTTTTGGACATTTTACTCTAACACTTGTATTACGTACAAAAACAAATTTGTATGTGGTTGTTGTACAACAATGCTTCCTGTTACCTGTATTATTCTACCATGGTTTTATTTATTTTTAGATATAATGCCGTTTTAGATATTTGCCGTTCACAAAACAGTAGTACTTGTCTTGATTTGAATTTAATTGTTTACATTATTTTCTATCATTAAATTTACATCTGGTGGTTGTTTAAGTTTTTGTTATTTGCTTTCATGCATTGCAATGCGTGTTGGGTAAACACTTTTAGTACCATTTAAACAACTCTGCCGGTCTTTAGAGCTGTCATTTGCAGCGAACGTGCAAAACGTCAAAGTTTATGTCTGCATGAGGAGGAAGCAACAAACGCGCGTACCATGGACAAATTAGCAATATTTAAGTTGTTATTTTTCTTATATTTATGTGGACAACAATCTACTGAGGCAACAAAATTGAACTTTCCTCGAGTTCTGTTGCCCATCTTTGATAAAATCTCTATAAACTTCACTTTGCAAGTTAGTGAAAAAGGATGCTATAAATGGTGAGTATCGGCCTTGGATTTGGCTCATTTCGCTAACCTTTGCGACAGACATGAGGTCGATGTTGTTTTGTTGTTGCGAATAGAAGCGTTTTGTTTATAGCGACTAGATGAGACAAACCACCACCATTAACATATGGAGAAGCAATTGGCGCCTTTACTGTCAACTTAACCTTAAAATTCAATCTTATGTCTCCTTTTTAGGACTTCCTCTCGGCAGGATTTAATTCTAATTACACCGCTGTATGAAGATGCTGATGACAATGAGTGTTCCTATGAAGCAACAGTAACTGTTTTAACACGGGAACGTAGGCGAAACACCGCCATCGTTCTGGCTGAAAATGTAGCCACTGGTGATTCGCTGCGGTGCGATGTTATTTTGGATGTTATCGATCGTCTTGGTGTTGAGACAACAACGCGTCAATTATATTTAGAGGAAGCACCGGAAACTTTTGTTCTACATGCGGAAGATACACAAGGCAATGTATTTACTACTCTGGAAGGTGTTGAATTTAACTGGGTAATATCCTCGCTGAATAAGGACAGTAAGGATTGGTCGTCGGCTTTAAGATTTTTAACATTCACTGAAAGTCCCTACCATGAAGTTCCTAAAGCATTGGAGAAATTTGAAGCACAGGGTCTTAAGGGATACATGGTGCTATTAGAAGGCATTAATACCGGAACAGCAAAGGTAATAAGCGAAAGAGACTTTAAAATGTCAATTTTTTTATTAACTCGTCTGTATTGTTTCCCTAGGTTACTGTTAATCTTCCGTATACAGAGTATGGCTATGTTCGACCTATTGTAGTATACATCAATGTTTTGGCCAATATTATTTTGGAGCCATCAGATGTCTATGTTTTACCAGGCGACACTATCAATTTCCGCATCTTGCAATTAAAAACTGGCAAATTGCAAGAGATTTCTCTAAACAATCAGTATTTCTTAGAAATCGAAGACGTTAACATCGCCAGCATGAAGGGCGTTTCAGCCACGGGCCTTAAAGCTGGCACCACTATGGTTGTGTTGCGTGATCGCAATGTTCCCAACGATGGTAGCATTACGGGCGACAGCGAGGCCATGAAAAACGCTGTGCCAAGCGCACGTTTAACAGTTGCCCATCCCAAAAAATTAGGTTTGAGCTTATTGCCACATAACAATTGGATAACCGTTGAAGGAGAAAAACACGAAATTGCAGTGGATTTATTCACACAGTAAGTAACACCAATCGTTGCAATAATATTAGATGACGTACCTAGAGAATAAATTAAAGAATATTTTGACACGTAAACTTAAAACAATATCAAAAGATACAAGTTGGCTTGAAAATTTGAATACGGCTTTATTCGCACAATTTAGCACATAAGTAATATTTACGTCCACGTCTACTTTTTTAAACATAGATTTTAGCAAGTACCTAACTTATTATTATTTTTTTACTGTCTCATTTTTAAGCGATGACCATAAAATTACTTTAGGATCCCGTTACTCAGTAAATTCTGAATTGGACGAGTCACTGTTTTTTATACAAAAGCGTAGCAAGAATGGATCCCGTCTATATGGAGAAGCCATAAGGGAGGGTATTACACCAGTATACGGAACTTTCAAAGATGTAAGTGTATCTTAAAGATTTATTTGTTACATGCGACTAAATTGTACTCTGCCTATTGTTTACAGTTGACCGCCCAAGCTGAATTACAAATTTACAGTGAATTAACATTATCACCTGCCAAAGTGATTTTGCCCTTTGATCCCAATATTGTCAAGACCCAAAGAATTCAATTCCAAGCCAAGGGTGGTGACGGTTCTTACGTTTGGATGTCCCATCAGCCACGTTTCTTGCATATAACACAAAATGGTCTAGCCACTACCGTAATAAGGGATTCAAATGTCAAGGGTGGTCTTGATACCTACGATGGGGCTACTGGAACCTTGTTGACTGCACACGCCCACATTAAAGTGGCCTTGGCAAAAAATCAGAAAATTTCACGACAAGCGGATGTGTACTTTGTGCCACCAGTCAAATTACAAATTGTAAAATATAACTTTGAAACAGCTCTAAAGGATTACGTTCAATTGCATGTAGCAATTTATGCATATGTCAATAACACACTTATGCCGCTGACAAAATGTGAAAATCTTGTCTTTGATTATGAGTTTTCCAACCAAATATTCCAAGTTGATTACAACGCAGCCTCAGCGGCAGCTTCAGAATTGGCTCCGGAGGCTTGTCAGATTGTGTATTTGCGCAGCACAGCAATTGGACTTACCCACCTTAAATTATCGTACAAATTCCGGGAAAAACTTTTAAAAGACGAAGTAACCCTGAGTGTCTTTGATCCATTAACTGTTCTTAATCCGTCAGAGAACCACGTTGTTCTCCCCATTGGCTCATCGCGAAATGTCATTTACACAAATGGTCCCCAGAAAATATACACACTCGAAGCTGAGTTGACCAAAGGTGTCGATTACAACCACAACATTGCTAGGGTCTCTGAAATTGAATTTGACACACAGAACAATATGTATGCCTTTACTGTGTTGTGTAGAGAAGTAGGCGAGACATCTTTGGAATTCAATGTTTTCAATGCATTGCTTACACCGAATTTTCAGCCATATCACTCCAAAATAACCACCAACATCTATTGTGTGAAACCAAGATTTCTTAATTTATACACGCGGGAACAACTGCGATCATCGTGTCCATTAGAAATGAGAAATGCTTTGCTACAGCTTAAGGATCAAGATGACAAATTTGAAATCGAAATTGAGGTTCAAGATGCTAAAAATCGTAAGCTGATGAATATAACTTCATTATTTATTGATTGGGAGTTTGCAGCTGGGGAGCAACGTTACCATAGTGGTGCCATTATACACCATCGGCAAGCCGAAGAAGAATACTTGGAAGGTATTCGTCTTCCCGGCAAGGATATTTTGGTAACCCAGTTGAATGAAGTGGCACAAAATTTCCGTATCAAAGGTGTTGTAACAAAATATGATGACTTGGTATTGCGAAAACAAAACATATATCCAGAAGAGCCTCCATTCGGTATCAAAAATGTAAGTTATTTTTACAAAGTTCATTGAAGCTTTATTTGATGAAAATTAATTCCTTATTTACAGCCCAAAACTGGAGAAATTGTAACCCCCCTTATTGAAAATGAAATTCGTTTTATGACGGTCAATAGTACATTCTTCCCTTCGGATCACATCAGCATTTTCTTGGCCAAGGGTCGTCGTGAACGCATACCAATGTCTCAAGGTAGTGGTTTCTATGATTTTCAACTATCGGAATCAGGAATAGTCAAAGTGGAATTCGATAACAAGGAAAAAGAATTGATTGTTTCCCCTCTACGAATTGGCCATGTAAGTTGCAATTTGTGTGCATTTTTATGCCAAAAATGACTGTTTGATCATTTATTTAGACTCGTCTTGAATTGATTGATCGCTGCTTAATGAATGAACCTGCTCATTTATCCATCTCGGTGGTAAGCATTGGAAGTATTCGTGTGGAGGTTCCGGATCGAGTGGAGCGCACAAAGTCTATAGAAGCAATTGTTAAATTGTATGACTCACATGATAACCTGTTAAATATTGATCCATTTAATTTACAAATTTATGAATTGACGGAAGAAGTCTTTAATTCGAATATATTAAGTCTTCAATTGGGAGAACAAGTCGATTTGGGAATTGGAGAAATTAGGTGAGCTAGTGTGATAAACTTAATTTTGTATTGCTTTTGTTTTTGTATGGTACATATACATTATAAAGATATATTAACCACACATTCACACATATGAATTTCAGATATATTATAACAGGTAATAATTTAGGTGAAACTAAAATAGTTTTCAGTTCCGGCAGCGGGGAGATGTTGGTATCCAGTGAGCCAGTAAATGTTCAAGTAAGTTTCCTTTCCCTTAAGTACAACAAGGCCCTTAGTTAACATCAATACGTTTACACATTATAAGGTATTCCCTCCTTTACGTTTGTATCCACGCAACACTACACTGGTTGTAGGTTCAAGTGTTCAAATTTACTACCACGGTGGACCACATCCAGATGTAAACATAGTCTACCATGTGCACGATCAAAAGGTTATAAGTAAGTATAAATCTCTAGCATAGATTATATTATATAGCTAATATTTGTATATATTTTATTAAGGCATGGAATCAGCCATAGTAACTGCATTTAAATTGGGCGATACTAAAATTAGTGGAAAATGTGTAATGACAAATCCTATCAATGGCAAAGAGGTTGTAGTTTCCGAAGATACTGTGGATGTACATGTAGTACCTTTGGTCAATATACAAATTAAAACACCACTGGTTCGTATTCGTAGTGGTGCAGTTATGCCAGCTTATATATGGGGTAATTTTTTTAAATCAAACAGTTGACGATAAAACTGTTTTATTTATTTTCACACTCTATTTTTAAGGTTCTCCTGATCTATCGCCCATGGTATTGGGTACATTGTCAAATATGCATATAACATGGTCAACTAATCAACCCGACGTGATTAACATTTACAACATTTTTGCTGATGCTGGTGAGTTGAATATAAAAATATACATACTGAATCACGATACAGCATTATGAAGGCAAATTATCCTATAATGCTCACAAAAGGTTCACATAACAAATTATTCTTTGATGAGCCTGAATGGTTGAGTTTCATTTCAGGAACAGATACGGAATATACAAACTATTATAAACTAGTAGTAAAAGCTATTGCTCAAACATACCATTATCCTTGAGGAATATTCTCTTTAGAACGTGAAAAATTATTAGCCTTATTCCAAACGATATAGGAGAATCAAAAATATTGTTTTTGAAAAATAAATCGTGCTGTTGCAGCTTAATTTTAATCGAAGGATTTGCAGTAACGTTGTAGAAGAACTTTAGAATAAAACAGAGTGACGAATGTCGTGCAAAATGTCAGTACAATTGAATTCAAAACAGTAGTAGAAAACATATGCTATATAACACTATAACATATTTTGACTCTATACGTCAGTGGAATTGACGTCAATGTAAAGTCAGAATATATTCAGTTCATTCACGTATATGTAATTTCGCAGGAAGTGACTTTTAACATTAAAGACATTCGTATTATATATTCGCCTTATATGTACAAAATATTGGAAATTTGCCTATCTTCCCCACAACCGTTTTATTCGATCTATTTCGGTCCCTGAACATTACCCGATCATCACCAAAATAAAATGGCTTCTTCAAGGGCTTCTTCGTTTCAATGCGATCAAACTGCGATCTATATCTATATGAGCAATATGTTGAAAAACAAATTAAATAAATGACTTTGGATTTTGTCATAACTTAGGACCCTTTTACAATTGATTCACGCTTAAGTCGGTCAACTCCTTCTCATACCTCTCCCATTAAGGGAATTAGAGACCGCTTTTTTAATTTTCAAATATTTTTCCCATATAAGATATATAGATATGTTTCGTAGGGTAGGTTAGGTTTAAATGCGCGCAGTTATCTTAAGACAACTGATCTACTCGGAGATCTGCTGGTCATTGCATTCATACTAAATTGAAGAAAAAAGAAAAGAAAGGAAAAATAGTTTTGTAATCCATGATGAGAAATTATCTGTTGTTTCTAGTCACTTTAATTTTCTGTCTAACTGAAAAATAACTACTGGTTCTGTGTCGGAGAATGCATACATATCTTACATAATTGCTCCTCCACAAGACTATTTCTCTCACGGAAGAGAGTTGGACGGTGGCAGAGTAAATGTTCAACCGTTCAGTTTCCTCATGTTGACAGAGCCTGCAGTAAACGGTGTCATCGCCACCCTACTTTCAAGAGATGACCCCTATATTATAGTGACGAGTGATGACCACAGCATGAAAATGGGCGACCTTGTTTGGCTACACCGAGTTTCCAACTTTTAAATCGATTGACTAGGATCAACGTCGTGCTACTTCATTACCAGAAAGGCTGCAATGGCCTGGAACCCAATAGAGCTTTATGGACGACTTATTTCCTGCTCATATCATATATAGTGTTAAGATGGTATATATCAGTTCAACCTTTTTAGTACATCCGCGATAAAGGCATAAAACTCAAAAATTACATCCACGATTTAGTCCAAACTTTGCACTTCTCAATTGATGGATGATCACCAAATGAGCAAGTAAAAAAAATAAGTTTGCGAGGCCCAACTTTTAATACACTCTACGGTAAGGAAAAGACAACCTTAAAAATAACATTATCGGCATTCAATACTCGAATAGGTTTATTTTAAATTGTTATTATTTTCTTTGAAAATGAAAAATGAGTAGCCGTTACGTCATCGGTCCATGTTGACCGAATGTTTGTTCACAAAATTGAAAAGGAGGATATTGGCAACATTTGGTTTCGACAGGACGGCGATAGGTGTCACTCCAGTATTGTGATTGGTTTATGTAACACAAATTAAATATAATTTAGCAAGAGTGGTATGCTACTTATGTGTCTCTACTTTAACGAACAATTTTATGAAGAATATAGTTCTTACTTGTATTCTTGGATTTTAAAAGAAACAACAACCATGGTAAGCAGATCTAAAGTTATCCATGTCTATAAAAATGTTTCTATTGCAATATTGTACTTATTCCCAGTGTCCTTGGTTGGTCTGTCACCCGCTCCAAAGTTGTTTAAAGGTCTAACCGAATTGACAGCAATTTAATGTGGAAGAAATGAAAAGATTTGAATTCACTTTTCGGAAAATGCCTATATATTACCACGGTATTTGTAGCCCGATCGACTGTGTTAACTCAGATTCATTCTTTGGTGTAGCTTCCTTTAGCAGACTTCACGACAAATTGTCATTTCGGTTTTTGAAAAAAAAGATAGATACTGCCTTAATTATTTTACTAGAAGATGGAATTGTCATATAATTTCCTAGTGGAAAATTCTGTCTGCATCGATGTCCATATTTATTGATCATTAATGCATTAAAGGTATTCATTTATTTATTCAAATTCATTTTAGTAATACTAGGCCTAAAAGACCATGTAAACATATTACTTAGCATATAAATCCTGAGTATTTAATATTACATTACAAAATATAAAAATTATTAACACCTATATTCCATATACTTGGCTCCCAGCCATAAAAATATATAAGAAAAATAAATTCAAAATCACATGGCCAAATGAACAACAACCCTTAAATGTTACACTTTTGTTAAAAAAAATGTAACTACGAAAAAAATAATGATAAAATTTTATTTCGAACTGTTACAGAAGTGAAATCAGATGAGCATGAAGTTTCTTTCTAAACACATTATTTGAGTGAGAAAATATCCTTAGTTCGCAAGGCAGCGGATTCCAGATACGTGCAACGCGAACGATCTTACATAAGTAATTCTATTAAGTAAAGGAAAACTTATCTGCGGATTTCTTGTTGAATGTAAAAGCGAGAAGCTTGCAAGTAGGGACGTAGGTTTTCCAGTCGTTATTCTCCAACTAAGAATGGGGATAGTTTTAATATAGTGCCAACTTATTACATTTCTATGTATTCCAACTAAATCTACTCAAAATATTGTCTCCATTCGCGTTTGGTAAATATTGATATTACTTCTAGCGATCGAATTCAAGAAATAAATTAACTGTAAAAATATCTTTTCATATCCCTAATCATGGTACAATGTCCATGTCCCCAATATTGTTTTCTATATATATTTTGTACTTTTTTATGTATTTACTTTCTATTAACATTTAATTTCATTGTTAATAATTTCTATAGGCATTGAATATTCGGACACAGATCTCATTTCTGTTCGCGTTAAAGCCTTAAATCCCGGCAAGGCAAAAATCCAGGCAACAGTTCAATTACCGGGTGGACAGAAAATTTCTACTTTTGTCGAAGTAGTCGGTAAGTGAAACACACAGTAATTTTGAGTCTTACCACTATCATGTTTTTGTTTTCTTGTCATTTATTTTATTTTTCAATTTAGTTTTCAAACAACTTGAACTGGAATCCCCAAAACACATAACGACGGATACAATTCTGCTAGCACCACGTAGCTCCATTCAATTGAAAGCGAACTTAGACGATGTCCTCTATAGACTGTCCAGCGATAGCAATGCAATAGTGAAAGTGACACCAGATGGCATTGTCCGAACACAAGAGACTCTGGGCCGAGATTTAGTCATTGTATGTACATGTACCAAGGGCAAACACCCAAAACAACAAAGCAAAACTCATCTATTGACCATTCACACTCACCTCTTTTTTGTTGTTGTTTTCTTTTTTCCTTTGTTATGGCAAACTTTTTTATCTCTTTCACCTGGACCGTAAAAAGGCGAAAACATTTGATCAAACTTTAGCTATCGGCATTGAGGTTAAGAATGTCCAATACATTATGGCCGCGCTGGTGTATCCCACAATCAAACTAAAGAATACCGAAGAGAGAATTCCACGTGGCATGAATTTCGTGCTGAAAGTTTCGTTGCATGACAATTTAGGCAATGAATTCTCGCACAATATCGAAGATGTCAACGGCTTGAAATATGATTTATCTCATAAGGACATTGTGGATGTTCAAATTGGCAATAACTTAACTGTTGCGGTAAGTAAACCAAAGAATAATGTATCTACGTATGCGAAGTTCTGCTAGTTGCCTAGAACGACACAGAATATCATGGTGTAAAAAACTTTCTCCAGATTAAAAGTGAGAGGGGGTTTTGGCTTAGTTGTGATACATTTCTAATTAGTCTTGTTGCGGTAGATGCGTGCTGATGGTAAAGTTTAGAAGAAAGATTATGTTATGTCATATTTAAACTTGTAATCTCCTCCTAGCACACATTCAACGGCATACCAATTTATTGTCACAGATGTGTCGTCAGGGCTGTGTTAAAGTTCAATACCGGTGGCGCAACGTAAAACAGAAAATGAAAAGAAATAGTAGTTCATTTTTCTTCTTGGGAAATCCTGATGCAAAGCTTTTTTATTCTCGTTTTTACCTGAGGAAATAGTACAGTGGGTGGCACAGAGCTGTTTCTGGAGAATTTATAAAATTGAATTGAAAAGTGTTTGCATATCTGCGTTATTCTAAAAAAAGTATCCAATAACGCTTGAGTTGATTCAAATCATCAGGGGAACTAGGTCCTGAGAATATGGCTAAAAATTTAAACACAACAATCCATGCAAGATCATAGCTATTATCTGGGTGCAAAAGACAAAACGAGCAACGCATGCTAGCTCTTATTTGAGTGGAAGTAAAATTCGAGCAAATTCTCCTTTTGCCGAAAGTATATATTTTCTCTATTTTTTAGAAATTATTGCGTCCGTTGGTTTAGAAAGTGCCGTGTCGGGCCCGGACATAATCCCCCCATTCTTGCAATAGGGATTATGTCCAAGAAAAAAAATGGTCATAAACCCCAGAAAGTAGCGGATATAACCCCCATAATAATGGGTACCAAGTTACTACATTTAATAATTTTTGTGAGTAGGCCCCACAGTAAACGGTCATATTCCCCTCTTTATTATGGAGATTATGACCTTTTTTCGGTCATTGGGGAATTATGCCCGGGCGCCGGTTTTCGATTTTCCATTTTAAATAAAAGTGTAAATGGGGCTGGCGGGAATCTCAACCTAATCCGCCAAAGGTTAGGTGATGCCACAAACCTCGAAATATTGGTTCTAGACCCACGATTTTACATATGTATTTACTTATTTCGCCGAGCTGGGTCGATTTAGCTATGTCTGTCCGCCTGTCCAGTATCGCCACAGGTCACAATTATGACGCAAACCTCACGAAGTTTTGCGTTGAGTCAGGTATAGGATCGGAATAACAACTTTTAGAACTTGAAATGGACCAACAAGAGATTTTTCTGATATTGCAGTCTATCAGGTCATAAGTATATACCAATTGGCGCCTAATGGGGGTTAGAGTTTAGAACAGCGAAGAAGCGCACCTGTTGGGATCGACATAGCACAGCGGATGAAATGTACCTTACATTTTGTGTGAAATATCCATTCCAAACACAATATTTTACTTTGTTTAAATTTTTGAGAATGAACATTGATAATTTTTGATTGTCTACTTCGGCATTTCGATTTGTTTATGTTGGAGTCAGTTGAACCAAAATTTACCCAACATACCAAAATGGCTTGAGAATAATATTACAATAAGCTTATGAACATAAGCCTTAAGCTTGAGAAAATCTTGAGAAAACATTGAAAAATGTTTGTGTAACAAGTATAGAATAATCGAAACGGAACCCGTATTTATAAGCTTATACTTGAAATTGTAGAATAAGCTTGCAAAAATAATATTATAATAAGCTTATTTTTGTAATAGTATATAATATTATTATTTTTTTAATTTTTAAACATTTTTCACATTTTTTTCTTGATGGACATCCCAGTAGTCACTGCCTCATGTGGCCTTGATACCCTAACGCTTTCTTCTCCCTTATTTGAACTTCTGCATCTCTTCCACTAAGACTACACATCTATTGAATTCCTTCAACTTTTTTGATGCTTCCAATCTGAAATGGGATGGGAATAATTTATGTGAAAGATTCCCGGATTTATTATTCATGCATACCTTAAGGGTTCGGTCCAGAAATGGGTCCTAAATTCGCGTGATTTTGTTTTCTGCCAAAGAAAATAATTTCTTGCTGACAATTTTCACAAAAAATCAAAACTAATTTGTCAACAAGGGACAGATTTGCGAAATGTTTGTGGAACATAAGTGTTTCTCAAGCATTGTTGAAAAATTATATTTTTATAATATTGTTCTCAAGCTGCATTGTATTTTTGGTATGTTGGGTACGTACAAAAACCAAAAATTCTATTTTAATTAATTCGGCTTCACTCCTTTACATCCCTATTTATATATCAGATTTAAGAATATTTCGAGTAATAAACTTTGAAGTTGAAACTATTCTCCTGTATTCGTTGTTGTAGTTTTAACTTCATTTAGATTGGTCCTTTTTTAGGGCTTCATGGGCCTTTTTTGTAATTTAGCTTTGTCAAAGATTCAATTCTTGTCTATGACCTCTAATAATGAAAAACAATAACCGTTCCGTAGATGATCGAATCCAATATGAATTTTATTCGAAGAATTAAGTACGCAATTCTGAAATGATAATCAACTTTTTATCCCGGTCTATGTAATGCAGCCATTGAATATTATTTCTCCATCCCCCCAAGATTCATAAATCCAGCTATTATTCGAGGATTTTCTCGGGGTCATCACTGTACTCGTTCTCGTACATATTGCATTGCGCAAATACGTTTGCGTAAAATCTTTGATACAGTGACCGCATTTTGGCCACAAGTTTTCAACTATACTGACCGCACGTAAACCTGGTCTTAAAACTAGCAAAACTTGTGCAGGCAACTTTTCCCAAACCAACATTAGGTGAATTGGGAAAAAAGCAATGGCAAGAAGAAGGGGGCGAGAGAGAGAGAGAGACAGAAAAAAACTTGTACAATAAGCGTCTTAGAATCTCAGTCATGGTTGTCTTTTCTACGATAGTTTTTATTTGCGTTCTATGGCATAATAACCACATAGACTTGGTTTTGGCATGCCACTATCGCGCAGCAGGAAATCTGCCACCAAATGGGGGATACTCCGACAACAACGATGCATAACAACCGTTCCGAATGAATAGCCCGTGCATATATGTACGTCTGTACGTACGGACATAGTTGGTGGCAAATGCTTTTTGCGTAAAACTCTTGCTTACTTTTCTTTTTGCCACTGATGATGACAGTACACATTTTACGGAAATAGGTGTACGACTACAACAGTGGCATGCGGTCGGTCGGCCGGCCGATGGGTAGGTAATGACGATGGTGTCACCACGGCTATCAAAGTCCTTGGTCTGCTACAAAATAAAAATGCAATGCGTTACGTCGCAACATAATCCCATTTGGCTATGGTTTTCTTTGCTCAAGTTATGTGGAGGGGGTAAGGTGGCGTTGGTCACTCATAAGGTAGCATTAAGTTCCAAAAGATGTGTGGGGAAGCAACGCAGTGGGGGAATATCATATCCGACTCATTTTCCACAAGTCGTCTGTCCCTTTAAAGCCACAACATATTAAATGGTTCGTTTTGCCAGAACACTGTCAGTGATGGTAGCAGGACATTTATTCCCCCAGGATTCTTCACATGGACGATGTGTTTCTGTTGTAGTTTTTCATTTAATATCTTCCGAGGATTTCATTGTGGAGTTATTTGTTAGCTAGCTAGCTATACGTTGTTGTTCTATCCTATTTGTATGTCTTGTTCTGTATCTCGCTCACTCCTCCCCTCTCTGTCTGAAATTATAGTAAATCATATTTATATTTGTTATTGTTGTTTTTGTTGTGTACATTTTAGATAAATCTGCCACGTGAAACGAGCAACATGATTGCCATAAGTTTAAAGGATGCTACGGGAGTTAAGCATGCTGAGGATTATATCAAACTGTCAGTTGGCGATTCCAAGCATATTTATCCAACTAAGGTAAGTCATACTACAACGTACAACATATTGCATTTAAATTGAAAATTCAACATACATAGATAATGTAATATGTGTACAACAACGTACATCCATTGGTGTGTCCATATGGGTGTGTGTGTGTGCGAATATTTTAAAAACAGGACAAAAAACACACAGCCAAACACAAGGACAAAAACAAAAACCCACCGCCACATTTAGAAATTTGTTATATATATATAAAAAAGAAGCAAAAACAACAAGATCTTGCCATTGATTTATTTGTATAAGACGACGGTTCTGTTTCTAATATCGTAATAAAGCATTCTTAGGGTTTAGTACAACATCATGTAACGAGGGTTTAAGCAAACAGTAAAATATTAAACATGTTCCAGGATCATTTTTATGGACAAATAACTATCAGAGGTGAGACAATTTATAATGGAGAGCTATGATTAAAATTTTACGCAGTATAGCCGTTTTCAATCGAATTCAACATTTTGGTCGTTTTATTTATGAGTGATATTCTGGAATTTGTCTAAAAGAATATGTATTTAAACAAGAAAAACAATAAGTAAGGGCAGGGGTAGAGAGATTGAGTTCGACTGTTCCTTCTTTATAATCGAAAGAATGAAAAAATCACTATCCCTTTTTACTGTCAATTTTTGATCAACAAATCGGAATTTGAATGTACTAGTAAGTATCCAGTTGGCGACCAAGTTATTAGTTCAACGACCTAAAACCGTTCAGAATTTGTATACATAAATTGTCAACCTTTTCCATCGTATTCAATTCACAATCATTCATTATCGCCATACTGAAATTTGACACTGTTATCTGCTGATCTCTTGGAGAATTATTGTCGGTGTAGTGATATTACTTTTTCTGTAATAATCTTTTTCTTTTAATTGGGAAGCTAAATTTCAATGGATATCTTAAATTCAATTGATATCTTAGACGCTATGTCTTTTTGGACAAAGTCCGTTTCAGTATGGCGATCTTGCAATGTCCGTCTGTAGTATTCAATTCGGTCAATCTCGGCCAATTTAAATATTTTTTCCAAACTAAAATCGAGTTGGAGGATGGGTCATATCGCCCCTCTTCCTCTTGTATTTTTCTTACAAAATTTCAAAAATGGAAACAAAACAAGTTACACCATTTGAAAAGTTACATGTTTTCAAAATTTCTTAAGGGCCCAGGTGCACCGGTGCTATAAATAAGTTTATTTTTCCATGTAAAATATACGAACAATGGCAGGAAATGTCCCTGGTCCAATTTCTAAGTCCGACAGCTGATAAAATTATTCCAGTGACAGCTCACAGCTTGTTTACAAGCGTACAAAAGAATTTTAGTGAGCATTTTTCAAAAAAAAAAAAAAAAAAAAAAAAAAAAATATTCGTGATGCAATTCAAGGGTGATAGTTTGATTTCTTTATATTTGGCTGGAAAACACAAGTGGTTATCGTTAAAGCACTTCAGCATTTAAATGTGAATAAATCTTTTATGTCTCGTACCATCGCTCGTTACCGTGAAAGAAAATAGACTCAAGAGAGCTAAAGAGTTGCTTCGCTTGGCCGAAAGTGGTGAACTGCCAAATTTGGTTTTCTCCGATGCGAAAATATTCTTTGTGCAGCAGTTTGTAAACAAAAAAAATTACCGTGTTTACTTGCCAAAGAAGTCAGATGAAAATGTGCACCTTCGTTTGGCCATCAGAACTCAAGCGCCAGCCATGGTGATGGTGTGGGCCGCCATAACAGCCGATGGTCGTTCTCCGCTCGTATTAATCGACCGTGGCATCAGAATAAATGCCGAATATTATCCCGAATATATTTTGAAGGGTGTATTAAAGCCTTGGGCACGCAAACATTTGGCCGTAAACCTTTGAAATTCCAACAGGACTTAGCACCTTCGCACACTGTAACACAAGAATGGTTACAAAATGAGCTTCCTCGCTTCATTTCCAGCGTACAATAGCCACCAAAATCTCCGGATTGCAATCCGTTAGACTATTTTGTCTGGAGTATTTTGGAAAGCAAGGTTGGCACAAAAAAATACCAAAGTGTCGATCATCTCAAGCAAGCGCTTCGCCGAGAATGGTCCAAAATACCGCAGATCAACATTCGGGAAGCATTTGAAGGCCATAATTCGTTCCAAAGGTGATCAATTCGAACAAATCTAAACTTATTCTAAAAGTTGATGGTATTTTCGACATTTTTTGCTTTCATTGTATAACATTTAAAAAAAGAATGTAAAAGCGATGGCATTTGACTTTGTTGTAGTTTTTATGATATATTCTAACTTGTTAATTTCTTTTTTTGAACCATTCTGGTATTTTCATTTTTTATATTTGCAATGGATTCCGGGCACTGCAATGTTAATGGTAAAGGTAGGGCGAGCGCGGACCTGAGTCAAGCGATCTAATTATTGAATACTTTTGAACTGAATCACCGAAACCTGAAATAAAGCTCGTGGTGGGCGTTATTAAAGATCACTGTAACAAAGGGTCTATGTCCGCAAATGGGAAAGCAACGCTAAAGACTAACACAAACTGTTGGAGGTTGAAGAAGAACTGATGCTTCAAAATTAAAGAATTATATTAATCGGACAGCACTGGATCCAATATTTGAACTCCTCAAAATCGGAACCATTGACTATTTTACAACATCGCATCATAATCTATCGTTAATATTACTATTTTCCGATCCCCATGAACTCCTTCTCTATTTCTCTACTTTCAACAAAGCCTTTTCTTAGCTTATCTTTTATAGTATGGACACAATGGAGCAATAGGCCATAGGTTTGGACTGCTTGCCATAAGAAATTCAACTGCGGTTCCTCTAACCTAACCTAAGGCCTTTCTATGCCAATGTGATGATAGGCCCCAATAATATTTTTATTTTAGCTGCACTAAATCTGTATTTATACATCCGATAACGATTTAATATGCATACTTGAAAACGGCCATATAAAATTTCCTTTCTCTTTTGGGCTACCGTCGTATGCACGTATTTAAAAATGTATTGCATCCTTCAGTTGAGCTCTCTGGGTCATTTTAGTTATATGCTAAAGGAACATTGCATATTATTGTCAAAGAAACCGTTCAGATGTTGCTGACATCAACTAAACGAAGCTAAACTCTACCAAACAAACCTCCGACGTAAGCTGTTGTTGTTGTTTGTTGCACTTGACGATACTTTGTTGGCGTGTTTTTTTTTTTTTTTTTTTGCACGTCATTCATTGTCTTGTGTTGTGTTCTATTTTCAACATTTCTCCCCCAGCAATTTCTTTGCACTAATGGTCATTATTTAGTTTGTCCATTTTCGGACATGTTGTATTGACATTTTGATAAGCACCTACCTACCGACCGACTAAAAATGAAGGAACGAATGAATTGCTGAGAACCATCTTAAAAAGTATCATTTTAAGAGATTAAATCGTTTGATGCTGGCAGACGTGCTTCGTATGCTGAGCAAGAAAATTTCAGATTATTTAATAAACTTTAAAATATTCTTTTAAATGACTGTCATCATAAAAGGAATTACAGTGAGGGTTAAAAATAGGATGCAATCTAAACCGAAATTTCTCTGGGCCTTAAATACGTTTTTAGAAGTCAGTGAAAAAGATTTATCTTCAAGAGGATCCTAATTTGTTGAAGTAGTAACAAATAGTACCATTTTTTAACCGAAAAAACTCATGTCCATCAAAATACTACCGACACAATTCGAACATCGATCATGTTTTGGAATTCCTTGTTTCCATTTTACATTTCATAGCAGGTTTCAATTTACCTATTCTTATGGTACCGCAGTGACCTTATGGTACACTAGGGTTGCTGTGTCGGAATTTATGCAAGTCAAGATATTTTTCTTGAGTCGAAATGGAGTTTTTTCATGACTGAAGCTAAATTGTGCATGTTTGTGCCCCACTTTTAATCAGTAACAATCTTTGGATGCTGACAGGAAAAATGTTAATTACATTTATTTATTTGATAAATTTAAATTTCAGCAAAATACACATTACAAATCGGATAACAGTCCCATTATTTTATCATATAATAAGTAGTTATTCCTTGGCCGCAAATCAGTCGGTAAATAAGGTAAATTCCGGAGGAAGTCAATCGAATACAATAAAATTGTGCAGAAGTATTTTTACCTATTGAAACTTTTTATTGCAAATTCAGTTTATGCTTAAAAAAATCGATTTCATTCATGGATATCGAAATATAGCAAATATAATCTATATTTAGAACATTTTGAAAAAGAATGTGAAGTGTGGACTTTAAAATACCCATATTTGGAAGTTGTTCTAAAACCTGGACCTACGTTAAAAAAAATGTTTCCAGAATGTGTTTTACAAACTACGATTTCAAAATACCAAAATACGCTTCTGACTAGTACCAAAATATATTAAATCGACCATATCAATCACAACAAGAAAACAAAGTGCCAAATTGTTGGAAATTGAGGCTGAAACCTTCGGAATGCCGAATATCATGTTTTACGTGAATAAAAGGGTTATACCGGAGGGTTATATGGAGACCGTCAAATTGAGAGGTGCAAATTTACGGGGCCAGAATTGGCAATAGTGCAGATCTTTGCTTGCGTCTATCGAACATTTCGGAACTATGGAGGGAAGTCCCGTCACTTATATTTCCAAAGATCAAGGTCATTCACTTCCAAAGGACTACAAAGCTATTAGTCTTTCCTCATTTCAACTAAAACCCCTAGAAAGGTTAATTGATGTTGAGATCAGGCCTCAATCAGAACGGCTCAAGAAGGTCAAATCTTTTGAACAGCGCAGCACGGCGTCTTTGGTCACATTGAGAAAAACTTGAATGGGTTTCTTCAGTTTGGCAGACTTTCTTGACATTGAGTGGGCATTTAACAGTTTCACACACAACTTGGTATACGGTTGCTCTGTAGCAGAACCATCAAATCTCACATTGAGGAAAGCTCCTTCAGGAGAAAAAAACAAATGTTGTGACGCATGCTGACGAGACATTATGTCGTGAGTTCATATAAATGG